AGAGTGGAAATGTCACGAAAAGCAAACGAGCAGAATGTGAATGGAACAGAAATATCTGAAACCTGACACACAACAGAGAGATGAATTATGACTTTCAGTGGGTCTGTGGGGAGAGAGAGAAGATGACTACAAATCTGAGGCAACGCGTCTGATGGAGGAGTGAATCATCCCCAGAGCAAAGAGACGAACATCACGAACTAGTGAGGAATCATTCTGACAGAGAACCAAACATCAAACGGAAACCTTCGGGATCATCTCCAAGAAACGATCTATTCTTGAGAGCTATTCAAACAAAGGAGTCGAAAAGAAGATTCAGAAAGCTTCTAGGAACAAACTAACTAACATAAATCTAACTATGATAAATCTTATGTCTTTCTTTTGAGCGTGTTAATTCTAATAAAAATCTCTGTTTCGGCCTGTATACTTTAGTTATTATTTATTCAGTTCATGTTTGCACATTTATAAAACATTCACACATGTTTCATTACCACTGCAGAATAATTGAGGATGGCTGAAGGCTTTTGCATTTTAAAAATTACAACTTTGAGGTGTACAGTGTCTATAACCTGTAAGATAGATATTTTTAAATTAATGTCTATATTGCCATGAAGCAATTAGGATTTTCTTGCCTGGGATCTTCCTATTGGTGACCTAATCAAAATGGCCGACTTGGATCTGGGCGGAGTTGGATATGTACTTGATTAATGGTAGCATGTTATTATTAGCCATTAGCCGCAGCTAGCAGTTCAAGGCTAACGTCTTGTTAATGACCATAAACAACGTAAATAAATACATAAATAAATCAGAGAGAAGGGGCGGTGGTATCGATACTTTTGAAAACGAGTATCGTATACGGATACAACATTTTAGTATCGATACTTTTTCGAGTATCGATACTTTTGACAACCCTATCATCATTACCTGCTCACCTGTAATGATGTTGTCCAGGAGAGTGGTGGGCATACAGAAAATCCCCACCAGGAGGTCGCTGACGGCCAGATTGAGGATGAACAGGTTGGTGACGGTCCACATGTTTTTGCTGCGCAGCACGATGAAGCACACCACCCCGTTTCCCACCATGCACACCAGGAAGATCAGCAGGTAGGACACGATAAAGATGGCCGCCGTGGAGGGCTGGTGCAGGTAAAATCCCACGTAGGTGATGTTTGTCCTCGGAAAGGTTCCCGGGAACTCCGCGGAGGAGTTGTAAAGCGTCCAGTTTTCATCGAGTTGAGTGAAGTCGTTCTCGAGACTTTCGTTCATTTTAAACCTGTAAAACAAAATCAGTGTTGAAACCAGTCGCACAATGGGGGGGGTATAGCATATATACAGCATTCTATACATATATAGCATTCTTTGTGTCAGGAAGGTGGGTCTTGGAGGGAGGACTCAGTCGCGGAGATTCGTGAAAAAGGTTTATTTTAACAAAAACGAACTCAAGACAGTGGATGACAGGACAAGGTTCAAAAACAAGGCTGTGGCAAAACTATGAACAAAGTATCAAATCAAAATTAAACATGACTATGAACGCAAATTATCAAATAAAGCAAACAAGGCTCTGGCAAAGTAACAAATAAAGATTTTAACAAAACTGTGGCAAAACATGGCTATGACAAAAACGTGGCTATGGCAAAGTACAAACAAGATTTACATGGCTGTGGAAAAAACAAAAGGCTATGGCAGAGTGCAAAAATTAAACCTTACATGACGTGGGGAGACAAAGACGAAAACGCACTGGCCCAGGAAATGGGAAACGAGGACTATTTATACACATGAGGGAGGGGAACCCCAGGTGAACACAATAGGTAATCAAGACATGACAACACACCAGACATTCCCCCAGACTTGACACTTTGTTAATCCTAAAGGCTGAATCTGGGGTTATAATACATTTTTTGGAATATTAAACATCATCATGGCCCCACTATAGAGTTTTTCTAACATAACATTTAATCATCTTTCAACTGGAGAATGTGTTTTTTTTTAGTTACGTTCTTGGCTCAAAATATCGATTTAGGTGTTTTAAACATTTCAAATTGCACCCATCAGAACTACTGTGCGTCTACCCATAAGATCAATAAGCAATTAAACATTAGTCATTAGTCATTTATGTACTTGTACACATATACATCTTAGAACATAAAGAAAAGGAAAGATAAAAAAAAAAGTAGTTATCATGACCAATACAAATACAACCAAGGAGTAGTGAAACAACATTAACCATGTATATTAACCATATATATGCAGATATGTCCATATGTTCCTACCATACATAACAAAGGGGGACAGAATAGCCTTATTTATTTAACTTCTGTAGGTCTTGGCCATCAGATTTTGATGGTTTACTCTTTGGGATTCTCAGGAAGTGTCTTAAACTTTTCAAAATATCAGCTATTTGCAGCTGGATTAGATTCCATCTCCCTAAAGTACCCTCAATCGGATTAAGCAGGAATAGAAAATGGATGGATGTTTACTAAAATTACAATTGTGTGGCTGCAAAATAGCTCAGTGGTCAAATAAGGTTCCACAAAATCATTAATAAAATAGAATATTCATTGCTTTAAAAAAAAAAGAAAAGAAGATTGTTGCCTTCAAATGGCTCTGATGAAACTCTAGCCTTTTGTTTAAATTAACATTGTGAGATTTGTGATGGGTGAGTTAAAAAAAACAGCCTCTTTTTCTGGCTACCTTTAATAAGTTGTGCCCAGCTATTTATTTTTTCTTTCCAACATCTCATATTCGTCAGTGAACACATCTTGCTTAAAGTTTCCTTTTTCGATAAGTCTCTATTGAAATACCCTTGAACTAACTTCCTCTACATGATTGTTACAGCTTTATTTTTCTGATTTGTGGAATGTATTCCATTTGTGTCCTTCATTTGAATAAGAATATATTCCGAATAAAAGGATTTATACAGCTAAGGAAGTCATAAATTACCATTTTAATGCCTTTGTGTGTACCTACATTTGCTATAAAGTCCATTTTTCCTTTTCTTTTGGATTATTTTTGGGCAAATCCTTAGGAATGTCTCACTACTAAACTGCATAAATCTTAATTAGGTAGTAGCCAAAACCTTTCATTCTTTTGTTTTTGATATTGGACAGTTGGTATCTGATGAAAACAGATTAAAACATCTGCCATCATTTATTTTCTGGTGATGTTATGGGACCCACGGTTAATGAAAAATATCGAGTACAACAGGTATAACTGGGAATACTATCATGGCCACGTTTATATATATATTTGCGCTCGTAATTGTTCTTAGTGACACTGATGGCCTCCCCTTGAACGTTTAAAGCTCACGGACAAAAAGCCGACACACTTTAAAAGCTTTGGCTGCTTACAGGTGCTCCACAATTCCTCTGAAGTACCCGTGAAGGTCCTTGACAAAATGCCACGTTTTTAATTCAGGCCTTTGAGAAAAGTCAAGGCCTGAATTAGTTAGCGACACAAAAGGAGGAGGTAATGAAACGAGCTGTTCAAAGAATAACAATACAGTGACCTCACTACAGCAAAAGAATAATTTCCACTCTACACTCGTTCTGCTCCAGTGTTTGATTATTCAAAACGCTTCATTTACTATCACTATCAGAGTAATATTCAGCTCTCACATGTCCAGGTGAAAAGAAACATTACGAATACCAACAACACGTCATGGAGGTGGGATCTTGGAGGGAGGACTCAGTCGCGGAGATTCAGAAAACAGGGTTTATTACAACAAAAAACACACTCAAAAGGAGTGGATGGCAGATATGGATCAAAACAAGGCTGTGGCAAAACTATGAGCAAAGTAACAAAGCAAGATTTAACATGACTGCGGCAAAAGTATACAAATAAAGTAAAAAAGACTATGGCAAAACAAGGTTAACAAGAATGTTGCAAAACAAGGCTATGACAAAAACGTGGCTATGGTAAAAAAACAAGGTTGGCAAAACTATGAGCAAAGTAACAAAGCAAGATTAAAAGCATAAAGTGGTCGGAAAAAAAGATTAAAAATGTCTTTATGTCAAATTTCATATGAATTATCAAACATTATTGTCATACTAATACTGAAAAGCATAAAGAGTTGGGGAAAAAGGGAAAAAAATAAACAATTGGGTATAAGAAATAGCTTTTTTATGTCAAATTTCATATAATTAACATTATTATGTCATACTAATAATGAAAAGCATAAAGTGGTGGGAAAAAAAGATTAAAAAAGAAACAAGCAGGTAGCCTATTAAAAAAAATGTTTTTTTATGTGAATTATTAAACATTATTATGTCATATTAATACTGAAAAGCATAAAGTGCTGGGAAAAAAAGATTTAAAAAAGGCAGGTTGTTGCTGTTAGTTATTTAAAAAAAGACAAAGTGTGAGCAGGTATACAAAAAATTCAAATTTCATATTAACATGTTAACATATTAACAAAGCAAGATTAACATGGCTGTGGCAAAAGTATCAAAACAAAGTAGGCGATACTATGGCAAAACAAGGTTAACAAGACTGTGGCAAAACAAAAACGTGGCTATGGCATGGCTGTGACAAAAATCATGGCTATGGCAAAGTGCAAAAATCAAACCTTACGTGGCGGGGGGTGATGAAAACAGAAAGACGAAAACGCACTGGTACAGGACATGGGAAATGAGGACTATGGTAGCTTTTAGTGTAAATAAACTTGTAAAATCTATTTATTGTTGTTAACCAGTCGATATATGAATAAATATGCTGGGTAATCGTGTCACTTCTGTCTCAAATGTAGCTCAAATACAAATAAATCAGAATGTTCAGATACTAAAACATTGTAATTGTGTATTAATAGATTAAAGGAGTTCATTTAGTTTGTTTAAGAAAAAGCAAATTTACACAATTTAGTTAATGATGCTATTGCTAGCCTATCCAGAGCCTGACCAATCAAATCTCAGATTATGTTTTAACCATTTAAAGCCTGATCCAAGAGAAATAGGAAGAATATTGGATTTTTTTAGTCTGAAGTCTTTCTTTGGCCCCTCAACAACATATGAAGAAAAAAAACAGATTTATTTTGATCAAATTAGCGTGCAATAAGTCAGAAATCTATGTTGGTGTAGTCTTCTACTGGCTGTTATCAGGTATATCTGAATGTGTACAACAGGGGTTTGAGCAAAGCTTTTACCACTGAATGATGCAGAAAGTCTCAGATCCAAAAGACTTCAGAAACCGGATCAGATATTTGGCATTAAAGGGTGATATTTTAATCATTTACTTAATTTAATTAACAATTCCATAGCAGTTATAAAGCAATCTGACTGTATAGTGAGAATCATGTTGAGGCATTTTATTCATTTATTCTAATTAAATGGCATTTTATGGTGAATAGCCAACATTTAGACCAATACTAGGACATATATAGATCGTTTAACCAAACATAGGAGTGTGAATGAATACATATTTCCATTCAACTCTATTGATTAGGAGTCAATATGTTCAGAATGGAACCAGTTAGAGCTCACAACAGTCCTCCTCCTCACCTTTACTTAAAGGCATTTTATTGTAAATAACCAATAGTAGGACATATATAGATCGTTTAACCAACCATAGGATAAAGAATAGATACATATTTCCATTCAACTCTATTGATTAGGAGCCAATACATTCAGAATGGAACCAGTTAGAGCTCACAACAGTCCTCCTCCTCACGTTTACTTAAAGGTTTCTCTTTTCTGTTGCATGAATACTGATTAAAGAGTGATATTTTAATCATTTACTTAATTTAATTAACAATTCCATAGCAGTTATGAGGCAATCTGACTGTATAGTGAGAATCATGTTGAGGCATTTTGTTCATTTATTGTAATTAACCGGCATTTTATTGTAAATAACCAATAGTAGGACATATATAGATCGTTTAACCAACCATAGGATTGAGAATGAATACATATTTCCATTCAACTCTATTGATTAGGAGCCAATAGGTTCAGAATGGAACTAGTTAGAGTCAAAAACAGTCCTTCTCTCTCTCTAAGTGTCTCTTTAACAGCATTTCAAATGCGTAAATGTCAAATTATTACAATATAAATGCACACAGCAACTGTCTCCTAGACGTACGTTGGACAGGTGAGGGGGGGGGGGTAATAATGGTTATGTTTCCCCCTCCTGTAACACAGAGAAAGGCCATTATAAAGGGTAATTGTAATGATTTCTATGGAGTTTGGCAGCCTTTGCTTGATTATCTGCATAGTGAGCTATTACACAAAGGAGAATCACAGTTTGTCTTTAAACATCATGTTTGATTGTTTTTGTTT